CCCGCCCCGCCCCGGCAGCAGACCGTCGGTGGTGCCCGGGGCAGCGCGGCCGGAGAAAGGCATCAAGAAAAGAGAATAAAAGCTCTCGAAAGCTGCGCGCTCATCTCACACTGCAGGTTAGAAAGTAAGTGCTCTAGAACCTGCATATGAAGGGGTGCGGGGGGAAGATGAGACAGAAAAATCTCTGCTTTGTCAATCACAAGAATGTAATTTAATACTGACACCAGTAAGACCACAGCAAAAAAAGTAACTAGGAAAATATTTATTGCCTTTGCATCTGAAGAAATAAACAACAACAAAAAAATGGTAACAACACTGAGCATACACTACTTTTTACCCTGAGGGGTTCAGGATTTCGTGGAGCTCCTATGACGCTATTTGCTCAGCGGAGCAGCCGAAGGGCTGGGGCTGTCGGAGGTGTTGGTGCTGTCAGGCATGTTTGTGCTCTCTCAGCGTTTCAGGTGAATGTCTTCTGCTCAAGCGTACAGAGTCTGGAAGTGCAGCACTTCACAGCAGAGCCCGACAGACTGGTATCCCCCGGGGAACGCCAATTCTGGGATTTCAGGCCTGGAAGAGCGCTCTCGTGATGGTTTATTCTTATCTTGTATGCTCAAAATTTTCTTAACACTTTTCAACGCTGGCAGAAAACATTAACCCATTTTAAATCCGCAAAAGGCAAAATTGCATCATTTTCCCTCTGAGAAGCACGTATCAAGACTGACCAAACAGACTAAAAGTCAACAGCTTATATAACTTCTTGTTCCAAAATGTTAGTAATATCACTGTTAGTGTCAGAACTACACAGCATGCTGACTATTGCATTTGTAACATTTCACATACGGTATCGAAATAGTCTAATACACAAATATCCTACAACACCTAGTAACATGATGATTTATACCAGTTGCTGCGAATCTTTATTTTTCAACTGGTATAGAATAATATTTATGTATTTAGGAGACAAAACCATAATGAATAAAAAGAATATAATTTCTCAGACTGGATTTGGAATGAATACCAGAGCTATGGCTCATGAAAAATTGGAATGGAACTTGAAATATTTCCAGTGGGCCAAGTCCCGTTTCTACATCTCATCCCAACCCCCCCCCCCCGCATCACCTAAAACAGTGTCACCTCTTAAGAAACACACCCGATACACCTGCTAGACTACAAACAACGCTTTCTTCAGCAAGATACAAAGTCATTATGTTGCCATGACACAAAAGAAAAGCCATTCATTTTAGTTGTGCTGTGTCTGTTGCTCAGTAAGCAGTGAATGATGTAGTACAGAATCAGCTGAACACACGGCTGCTAAGAAATTTATTTTCATGTTTCAAGAAAACACTGTAGTTCTCATATACTTTTTCCTTTAAAGGTGCCTTCACTAGAAGTTTTAAATGGGAATTTACAGTTTGCTTTGGGGATCAGAGTGAGATTATTAATTATTATTTTTATCACTAAAGCAGGATTTGATGAGAGATGTCAGAGAAGCTATTTTCATGTGGCATTAGATACCCGAAAGTTTATCACTTTTTTTCACAGATTAGGCTAGAAAATCATTACCTGAAATGAGAAAGCAAGTTACCATTTAGTAAAATGAAAGTTTATCACGTAGGTAAAATGTTTCGATTGCATTTTATGACTAATTTATCAGAGCTGTAGTCTAACACGTTATGCCAATGTTTTATATGAAGCCAAAATTAAGATGCAAAACAAGGTTTGACAATTTTACATCATAGGCAAGTTCATTAACATTAAGAACATCAGGAAAGATTGTTCAAGGCTTATCGTACAGGAGGAGCAAGATATACCGTGTCTGAATACACAACATTCATATTTATATATAAAGTCAGTAAAACCAAAGCAGTACCCATCAGCTGATTTCTCTGCATTTTTTAAAACATAGGGCTGAATACTGAACAGTGATCCAGAGCACAACTCTGCAAAACTTATCCTCTCAACAGAGAGGGGCAGAGAAGTCTCTGCGGTACTGGACTTCTTGCCTAGATCTCAGTGGGGAGACTCAGAGGATATTCCATAGGGATGCTCTCCCAAGGACATGCGTATTTCACCAGGGATCAGGGCTCCAGAGTAAGTTATGTGGGGGCAAAATGAGAGAATATTTTGAACAGCTCTTACTAGACAGTCTGAGGAAAGAAAAAAAACAACCAACCACCACCCCCCCCACATAAAGTAAAACCTCCAAATTCGTTAATTCTTTAGGAAGAAAGAAAATGAATTCTCCAGGAGTCACTAAAAACATTCCACATAGTAGAGGATTAGTCAAACACACGGTAAGCATAACTTCCCAGACACCAGGCCGACTTCTTTAATCCTTCAACACACTACCTGTTGTCTGGGAACGCTCCTCTTTCACGGGTAGGTTTCTCCCTATTCGAATAAACTGCAAGGCAGGAAACAAACGTAAAGAAAACCAGGCAACAGAAACGCTGACGGAAAAGACTTAAAATTAAGTTTTTCATTTGACAAAGCAGTGGCACCGCCGAAACCCGACGTAGCACCCGGGAGTCAGCCCCAAGAGGCAGGAGATCACACGGATCCCCCC